GTTGGGAATGGAGGTTGATGGGGTTGAGGGCTTCTTGTGGAGGGGGTGCGGGTGCGGGTGGCAGCAGGGGAGGGCGGGTGTTGGGGGGCTCCTTGCTATGGGGCAGGGTTAGGGGTGCTGTTGGGGGCTCCCCATGGCAAGGCCCCAGCTCTCACCCGCTTCTCCCCACCCCCAGCGAGCCCTGCGGCTTCGAGCCCACCTACCAGGAGCTGGCAAGCGCCGTGAAGGAGGAGTACCCCGACATCGAGATCGAGTCCAGGTTGGGGGGCACAGGTAAGGACCTGTGGCAGCCAGCGCCATGCAGGGGTCACTGCTGGGGTGTGCTGGGGTTGGGGGGGGACCCCAGCCTGCCCCCGCTGCAGTGCTGGGTGCCAGCCCCGTCTTTCACTGAGTTTCAGTGAATTTTTAGAGTTGGAAGGGACCATAGAGATCATCTAGTCCAACTCCCCTGCTGAAGCAGGATTGCCCAGAGCTTGTCAGAGCATGTTACTCAGGAGCATCCAGGCGGGTCTTGAAAATCTCCAAGGAAGGGGACTCCACACCCTCCCTGGGCAGCCTGTTCCAGGGCTCTGCCACCCTCACTGGGAAGAAGTTTCTCCTCATATTTGAGTGGAACCTCTTCTGGTCCAACTTGTGCCCGTTGCCCCTCGTCCTCTCACTGGGAACCACTGCAAAGAGTCTGGCTCCCTCCTCCTTCAACCCTCCCTTGAGATACTTGTCAGCATTAATAAGGTCTCCCCTCAGCCTTCTCTTCTCCAGACTAAAGAGTCCTAGCTCTTTGGAGAGGGCTGAGCTGGTGCAAACCTTGCAGTGAGGCTGGGGGGGCAGGTTGTGCCTCACTTGCCTGAGCACTGCGTATTGCAGGGGCTGCCCCTCACCGAGATCTGGGGTGGGGGGGGGAAGCAGAGACTCTGGAGCCTGGGGGTCTGCCAGAAGCAGGGCAGGTGTGGTGGGTCTGGGGGTACCACCGTGGCGTTCCTGCCTCCTGGGCAGGAGGGGCTGGGGGTTGGTGTGGCAGGAGGGGCTGCAGGTCGGGGCTGGGGGTTGGCAGCACCGTGCGGGGCAGGAGTGCAGCTTACGGCTCGGCCCTGTGTGCTTTTGGAGGGAACGGCTTCAAGCTCCAACAGGGGAGGTTTAGATTGAACATTAGGAAGGAATTTTTCACCCAAAGAGTGGTCGGGCATTGGAACAGGCTGCCCAGGGAGGGGGTGGAGTCCCCATCCCTGGCTGTGTTTAAGGGCCGTTTAGATGCAGTGCTGAGGGACATGGTGTAGGGGAGGACTTTGTAGAGTAGGGGAGATGGTTGGACTCGATGATCCCAAGGGTCTCTTCCAACCTCAATGATTCTATGATTCTTTTAAGGTGCCTTCGAGATTGAGATCAACGGGCAGCTGGTCTTCTCCAAGCTGGAGAACGGAGGCTTTCCCTACGAGAAGGACGTAAGTACCTGCCCCACAGGGTCCTTGTGTCAGCCAGGCCAGCTGGTTTTGCAGCAAGTTCTCTGTTTTTCCCCTCAATGTCTCCATTTCATCACCCACCAGCTCTACCCGAGCTCCACCAATGCCTCACAACTCCATCGAGTGTTTTCCCCCTTCCTGCCACCCTGCCAGGACCCACTCCGGGTCCTGCTGCCGTGTGCTGTGAGGGTTCCTGGAGGGTTCCTGGAGCTCCTCAGGCCAACCAGCCGGGATTTGGGCCCGTGGTGCTGCCTGACCTCCATGTGTTGTGTCCAACTGCTCCCAACCTCTGCCTTTCCCCCCTCCCCTGAGTGCTCCTTCCCCCTCCAAACCTCATGGTGAGGCCAGACCGGACCGTGACTCCCTCCCCTCTGTCTCCTCAGCTGATCGAAGCCATTCGCAGAGCAAGGAATGGGGAACCCCTGGAGAAAATCACCAACAGCCGCCCCCCCTGCGTCATCCTGTAACACGGTGCGGGGCTGGGATCTCCTGGCCCCCCCGTTGGCCCCCCGCTTCGCTCCTCGCTGCCTCCCTTAGCTTCCTGTACCACTGGGGATGTCCAGGGAACACGAGAGCGTAAGGAGCCTCCCGGGGAATGCCACCATGGCACTGGGGGGGCAGAGCCGTGGTACTGGTGTCACTGGGCTGGCCGTGTTTGGGGGGGGCCGTTCTGGCCCATCCCTTTGGGTCGGGTCCCCTCTGTGCGTGGGGTGACTGTGGCGTGGGGTGGATCCTCTTTGCCTTTGCCTCCCCCCTTCCTCTGTGCTTGCCTCCCCCCATGCCCAGCAGTGTGGGGTGGGGGGTGTCTCTCCCCTCCCTCAGCCACAGGAGATTTGGGCGGGCCCCCACCCCAACAAACACTCTGCCCAGCCCTCAGGAGGAGCCAGAGCGGGCGTTGGAGGGGACTTTGCAGCTCCAGTTCTCTCTGGGTTAACGCCGAGGCAAAAACACTCGCTGTAAACTTGAGTGTGATTATTGTTAATGATTAAAGTCTCTCCTGTCACTGTTTAAACCGGTGAGAGGGCAGCGGGGACCGGCTGCCCCGGCTGGGCATGGGAACCCCAGCTTGGCTCCGTCCCCACGGCCAAGAGGGTTATTTAATGGCCACGAGCTTTGCCCCCCCCCCCCCCCCCCCCCCTGTAATCACCCTGCCCTTCGCCACGGGGCGGCTGAGCCAAAGCAGAGGGGCCCCCTATTTATTCTATACTGTGTATAAACCCAACGGCCCGGGGCTGAATAAAGGAGAGAGGAGAATGTGCCCCCCCCTTCCTCCTCCCTGCTGACTCGTGTCCCTGTCAGGCATCGGGGCGCGAAAGTGGGGTGAAATGAGGTCCTGTCTCCTCCAGCCTGCCCTGCCCTTGGCTGGCAACCAGGCAGGATCAGGACTTTCACCCTCCAGGTAAGCAGGTCCTGCCCTTCGTGGTGGCAGCTGAGGCCGGGAGGGGACACGACGGGTCCCCCAGGAGGCCAGGAGGGGACACGACGGGTCCCCCCAGGAGACAGGGCTGGCTCCCCCAGCCCCCAGGGGAAGAGAAGGAACCACGCAGACAAGCGGAGTAGAAAACAACCACCACAACAACAAAACAAAAAAAAAAAAACAATGTACAATTATCAAATATACATCTCGGTGCGATACAGTCGGCTTCAAAAGAATCCAGGAGGAGCCGGGACAAGGGCCCGGTGTCCACCTGCTCTCAGTGCAAGTCCGTGTGTCCCAGTGGCGAGGTCTGTGGGACCAGCTGGACCAGGACAGCCCCGGAGAGAGGGGGGTGGTGGCAGAGGAGCCTTTGGGGTGACAATGGTGGGGTGTCCTTCCCCGGGGCTGAGCTCCTTTGGGCTGTTCCCGGTCGCTCAGCGTGGCTTGTGGGTCACCCCTGCTGGTGGCCAGCTCTGGAGGAGGGGGGGGGGACACCCAGAGCAATACCTGGCACAAAGAGTGACCCCTCTCTGTCCCCACATGTGCTGCTGCGCTGTCCCAAAGCGTGGTGGGCTCTCCCAGCCCTCTGTGGCTGGTGTCACTCTGTGGCCGGTGTCACCCTCCGGCGTTAGCCACCGGGCAGAGGGGACAGCCACCGGCCCCACGTCTGTGCCATCCCTCCCTGAGCTGCCTCGGTGAAGTTGGGGGGGGTCTCCACGGCCTGGCCCTACACGGCCACGTCGTCGGGGCCGGCCAGGCCAAGGTACTCGGGGTTCTCAGCTGTGGGTGTCGTGCCAGGGCCACCCTCGGGACCACCGGCCTTGGGGGGGTCCTGGTTCCAGTAGTAGGGGTTGTCGAAGGCTTGGC